TGTTCAACACAACTGCGGCTGAATCTTCTGGGACTGAACAAGTTAAGTAGGACTTTCTTAACACAAACTCGCTTAAGAATAACACTGGTTAACGGAAACACAATTTTGGTCTAAACTGATATGAATTATATTAGGACACGAGTTAGAATGATCTTTTTCTAACATTAACCTCTTCTTTCTTCTTTTACCTCTTTGCCTTTAAAAGCTGCATATTCCAGCTGAATATTCGTGTTGTTCGTCCTCTTTAGGACATTATTCTTGTTACAAAATTTCAGTTGTGCATGCGCATCCATTTTACTGAAAAGAGTTGCTTCTATGCGGATTGTTGGTTCTTCGAATGTTAGGTGATGCATTCCGCCTTCGAAGGAAAACCCCTTAAGTTTTAAGACATAGGGGCTGCAGGCCTATTTTTTAGAGCCCTAAAATGGGCCTCGAAAGTCTTATAAGAGTAACAGGATCTCGATTGACTGTGCATTGGATTTCATGTTTGCGAGCTGTTCACTGTATGTTTATTTATTTATTGCTGCCTGCATTGTGCTCTTGGTTAAATACATGCGTGTTTGTGTCCCTTTTTGTTGTGTGGTCAAAATCGCAGACTTTGTCAACATTTCATTGGCGTAAACGACTTCTGATATATTCTGATACAACATTCAGTATATCAGCATCGCCTATTGCTCGCTCGCATTACCACTTGCCGTAAAACTGATCAGCTTCTTTATTTCCCATTAGGTAGTGTTTTTGTACGCCAACCTGTGTTAGCTTAGCTCTCGGATGGTCCGTATTTGCGTACACTGAGTTCGCCTGCTCTCTCTAGTAGTCCTTATAACCTAATAGATGTGCCTGCAAGCAATCCTAGCCGTTCTATTTGCTTAAAGCATTATGTTTAAAAGTAGGCCAGGATCAAGAGGCATAACTCCATGACTGAGTTTGACTGATGATGGGTTGTGTCTCTTTTATATTCGTTTCCTTTTTGCACTCGATCGTTTCCTTTCGGGATCAACAGTAGCGCTCTGGCTAGACTTGTATGCTCCCTTGCTAGTTAGGCTGGTAACTGGTGTTGGTAAAAAAAAAAAAAAAGCTTTAGTTTAAATCATGATATAGGTGGCTGTTTGTAAAAGAAAATGGATCCCACATAGACCAGTGTAGCTGGAAATATTGCAGGAATTAATATCGACCGGTTTAGTTTGACCATATCACTGAGTGCTTTTTTGTTTAGTTTAAAAAAAAAAAGTGGAACTATGCTCTAGGTGCCAATGTTAAAAAAAAAATCTTTAACATGGTCTCTTGGTTTCTGAATCAGAGTCTCTCACAGTCTGGGTTCCAGGGCCCCATTTGGGGGAGGAGGGGGGATAGACCCACTGCTCCGTAACAAGCGTGTCCTAAAAGTAGACTTATTAAGCGGTGTATCTTTCGAAGTCGGAATGCGTCTCTCTGAGAGGCGAGGAACCAGTGTGCATATAAAAAGTCACATCTGTAAAACAGATGTGCACGCAAAACCTCAAGTTCTGGAACAAGACCGCCGTCAGGTAGAGGGTAAGCAACCAGAACTTGTCCTTTGGAGTTTACAGCCGGTAGACGTGGAGAGGAAGAAAAGAAATTGGTCTGTGCTGATTATGAGTTTTAGGTAAGCGAGAAAATGTTTGCTGGGGTGGGGAAGGCGACAGTGGGTCTGTTCACCTGACATTAATGAATATTTGTTTTCATTATACCCGAGGCATAACTGTGAACTAATGTATAAAAGTTTTATTTACTATCAATAACAGGACGTAGCAAACAAACCCGAGTGTTAATCAGCTGTTTGAGACTTTAATAAGCATACGTATATCCCCGTCCCAATGTGGGAGGCAATTTTTTTCTAAAAGCCCCACACTGTCTGTCGTCGTGGGCCCTAAATATAACTTACGGGTTGAACAGGGTTTTTGAGACTTGCGCACGTGTGATTCATCTGGATGGTGGCATTTTGTGTCACCGGGTGGCTATTGCTCGTTGTGCAGACCTGGTGAGGTTGAGCGTCGGTTAATATACATCTCCACATTCAGTAGTGTAGCAGTACTTTCTACTGCGTTGTCGAAATCAACCTAAATCGGGTTTTGTGCTGAAGTTTAAAACTGTGCTCAGATTTTTTCACACCCTATTCTTGCATCAGGGACATGGCTTTGAGCTCAGCAATTTCTAAAGATCCGCAGACAATCAGGGATAGCATCACCCTGACAAAAAGACCCTCACACACAGAGACATAATTACCGAACACAGAGCACAACAAAAACTCAAGAAAAAAAAAATACACCACTCTGTGCAAACACTACGTTATTTACTAACGTGATTATTTCATTAATGCTAGCAACTCCCAGTCAGTGTTAATGTTATTTGGAAAGTACACATTAGGACATCTCTCCCAGAGGATGCCTCCACCAGCCAGACTACAGGTGGACAGGGTCGCTGGAAATAGTTTAGGACAAATGACTTAGCAGATCCTAGTTGCTTCAATATACTGTTTTAAGAATTCAGAGAGTGAGTTGGGTAAACGGGAGGTTTCTTGTTAAGAGAAAAGGACAGCTAATCCTGCCCTTTCTTTCTTTCTCTCTTTTCTCCCTCCCCATCCCATCTCTGTCTGTCTGTCTGTCTGTCTGTCTGTCTGTCTGTCTGTCTGTCTGTCTGTCTGTCTGTCTGTCTGTCTGTCTGTCTGTCTGTCTTTCTCTCTCTCTCTCTCTCTCTCTCTCTCTCTCTCTCTCTCTCTCTCTCTCTCTCTCTCTCTCTCTCTCTCTCTCTCTCTCTCTCTCTCTTTGTCTCTCGGACTGCAGCCTAAAATACGAAGGGACTCAGATAACCATTACTCGGATGTGAATCAAAAACGAGCAAATTTTAGAAACCTCTTTCAACCGTATAAGATTACAATATAATTTGTTCTGCAATATGCGTGGGTACACTGAATATAACTGATCTTAGAATGAACTTGAATGTTTCGGCTTTTAATTCTCCTGACATCCACTAGAGGTTGGCCATCTTGTCTTATGACTCCTGTTTTAATATTCATGCTGTACGTTTAAGTTCTTTGACAACGTAAAATTTGCTGTTTATTGTAATGAAAAATTTGCCCCATAATGATCGTCGCAACTATTGCATATATAAAAGCCCCCCCCCCCCCTGGCGCCCCCGCCCCGGCACCCTACCTTTCGCCCCTCCGACCAGAAGGCAACCCTCATGCATGAATTTCTTCTTCTTTTTCTTCTTCTTCGTCTTCTTCTTCTTCTTCGTCTTCTTCTTCTTCTTCTTCTTCTTCTTCTTCTTTTTCTTCTTCTTCTTCTTCTTCTTCTTCTTCTTCTTCTTCTTCTTCTTCTTCTTCTTCTTCTTCTTCTTCTTCTTCTTCTTCTTCTTCTTCTTCTTTTCTTCTTCTTCTTCTTCTTCTTCTTCTTCTCTTCTTCTTCTTCTTCTTCTTCTTCTTCTTCTTCTTCTTCTTCTTCTTCTTCTTCTTCTTCTTCTTCTTCTTCTTCTTCTTCTTCTTCTTCTTCTTCTTCTTCTTCTTCTTCTTCTTCTTCTTCTTCTTCTTCTTCTTCTTCTTCTTCTTCTTCTTCTTCTTCTTCTTCTTCTTCTTCTTCTTCATCATCTATACCACAAGACATACAGTAAAATAGATGAGGGACGTAGCAGACCAAGAATAAAATGGAAATATAGCATCATAATCTTTAACACTGGCGACCTGTGTATCCTCTGGCTCGCCGGTAGACGACTTCGTCGCTAGACGGAACAGTAGATAGGTCTGTCACCTTTGATCGCATCAACAATGGAGAAGTCCTTTTTATGGCTCTTGGTGGCGAGCAATGATAAAGTAAAGTAAAAGTAAAGATCCTTTTTCAGACCTTTAGGCGCATCGGGCATATCTGAAGAGCACCCATATTTTTACAGACCATTCGGCACTAGGTGGGTAATGTGGTCAGCATTACTCCTCCCGTCTTTACTTACCTAGGGCATATATCCTGGTACCCATTTTAGTCTAGGTCGACCTGCGGCGCCCCATACCACGATAAAATTTCCACGCAGCCAGCAGTGGGTTTCGATCGCTGTATGTCGGACTCGCAACGTCTAAGCCACGGACGCTGCGAGTAATGAAATGCCGTTTTATGTATCGCACTTAACCTAGTCACAATTATAATCTAAAGCTTCACTTTCATGGCTTCTGGTTGAACGTGACGAACTTTTTCCCAAGCAAAGCACCTACCACCAGACACTCTAGAGCAGCACGATGTCTCTATGGTCAAGGCGGTCAGAAGAGTCATAGTCCTAGTCTTTTTGAGAAAAATAATTAAAAGGTCGGCCACTTTCAGACTGCTGCTAGCTAGCCGAGGCTGCTAACAGTCTCCGCCTATATTTGTGGTCTAGGTTATTCGCGTCACTTTCGTGACTAAATTCGAGTGTTTGCTTCATTTCTGGGCTTGATGCTTCCTTCCGATTCAGACCGCTCGTCCTCTGCCCTGTTGTTACTTGTGCTTGTCTTTCCTCTTCTTACTTGGTGTTTCCTGTTTGTTTTGTCTCCCTTTGATTTGGCAAAGCGTATTTTGTAGGAGAGCGAGCTTTTGTGCATAACGTCCTTTGGACCACCATTTACAGTTTTAAAATTGTGAGTATTTTATTTTGCCAAAAAGTACTGAAAACAGTTTCTGATTTTGGATAGTTCCGAAATGTTAAAATATTTTGCATGTGCCCATAGTGGTCTTATACGGTCAGAAGAGCAAGAAGCAGAACTTTATATCTCCCTCGAGACTCGAAAAACTTCGACTCAGACTTGAGTTTGAAATAGAACGGAGCACGTATTGTTTTACACCAGTCCGCCATAATGTTTATCCGTCAGCTACAACTCCAAAAAGCTGCATAATAAGTGAAGAATATAAACAGATTCAAACTTTTCTGATTACTTATACTGACCGATTTATTTATTAATTGACTGATTAATCACCGTAGTCAGCTGACGATAAATATTCTATTTGTTTGTGTGTTCCTCACAGGTTCGAACACTGTTTGTCAGTGGACTGCCTATGGACGCAAAACCCAGGGAATTGTATTTGCTATTCAGAGCTTATAAGGTATGATTGCTGTTTACATTTATTTCTTCATTTGTTACAGTGCCAGTAAAAATGTCTGTATATTTTAAGTAAATTAAAAAAAAATAAAGGACCCTTTTCCACACCTTAGGGCGTATAGGGCATATAGGGCTAGACCTATATTCTTATAGACCAATCTTAACAGCACTCTGGACACGTCCATAGGTGCTCAGACTCCCCTTCAGCATGTACATCAGTGTCCCGCGGTTAATAGTGCCAGTCATACGCTGGTCAACAAGACTTCGTGTTCGTGTGGGGTGCCTTTCATGCTTGGCTGCAAGGATCTTTACTTCCAATTCTCATATTCTTAGCAGTGAACCGAAACGCTGCTGGCAAAATCCACGGATTGTCCTATATGTCTAAGGGAATTAACACTGTCAGCACGATCCATGGGCTGGCCATTTGCAATTAAGCCGATTTATCAGCTCTTTTATTGCCAACAACAACTGCATTTCTTGGAGAAGAAGCTGAATGTGCCTATATGATCAAAGGAGTTTCGCAGTGACTCATTTCAGTGTCTGCGTACGACCCACAAGTTCACGTTAATAGAATCCCTGTGCAGGACACTTTTTTCTGTACTTTCTTTTTAGCCGACCACAAACAGGGGAAATCTACAGGTCACGGGACAATCAAATATTTCAGGGGGTGGTAGATAAAGCGTATAGTTTTGGTAAGGCAGGGTTAGGGTTAAGGTTCGGATTAACGCGCGAAAACCTTGGCTTTGGAAGAAACGCGCTAAAGCACAGAAAACAGGGAAAACCCGCTCTTACCACCCTCTAAAATACTCGACTGTTCCGTGACGTCATTTGTGGTCGGCTAAAAAGAAGGCACCCTTTATTCGTTTGTTGGGATAAACAGTGTTTTCTGCCGGAACATAAAGAGGGAGGGGGGGGGGGTATGTCAGGAAGGGAGGTACGTAGAGGTTCTGGAAGATTGAACACAAAGGGGAGACTGAGTCAGACTTTTAATCAAGTTGCAACTGGCAATATTAGCATGTTGACATTTTTTTAGCTACTAAAAAAGGGGACGGAGCACGTGTGGGAATGTCCCTAATGCGGTCATGTCAATCTCTCATTGATACGTTCACTCAGTCTTAATTTGAAAATTGTATCAAGATCCCAAGACGCAAATGTACCAAATAAAGACATTGGAAGTAAAGACGGCAGGCGCAATGTTGACCATTTCACCCAACCATGTGTCGACTGTTTAAATAAAACTAAGTTGACCTAGCGCAATATGCACCATTGGAGAAAGACGTACTTATCTTCTATAAGCTGAAACAATGTAAAACGTGCGTGGCAAAATAAAAACTTCAAGGAAAATAAGCGAGGTATAAATAGATATAAATACTTGAAGGGCTTGATCTGAGGCTTCGGTGAAACAAGAATACAAACCAAATCGGGGACTATGGTGATTGCAGGAGATCGAAAACCATCATGTAATACTTTGGTTGAGGTGGGCAGGGTGCATTATTATTATTATTATTACTATTACTATTATCATATTTTATTATGATAGAAAACTAGTGCACAGTAATACTGTTCTCCGTGTAAATTCTACTGGAATATTCAAAACAGGTATTTAAATATAAAGCAAATCGAATCATGAGACCACGACACCCCATTGGAAACTCTAAGACAAAGAATGACAAGAGAGGCCAAAGCTGCTGGACTGAATTCGATCCATGTTCTTGAACTGATTGGATAGAACAGTGTGTACGAATAAACTCCTGGCCTGTGAATAGTTTAAAAAAAAAAAAAAAAGACGTGATGACAATGATGAGGGGGAGGAGGAGAAGGAGGAGCACTATGAGGATTGTGATGTTAATGGTGGTGATGTGAATTCTAAGGATGGATAGGGAACCACTTAATGGAGATAGATATTTCAGTCTAGTAAAAGCAGTCGTACAATATAAAATAAATTTCTAAGTAGATTCAAATTAAATCATTCTAGTGCAAGGACAAATTTAGATCCAATAAAATTGGCAAATGAAATGCATTTCTTTGATAATGCATTTTAAGTTTATGGCAATCAGACATGTTAAAAATGTAACTTTCAGATAAATTGAACATTGCAGGACTTTGTTGTATCGGTAGGTTGTCTCATTGCGTGTTCAGTTCTGAATACTCGGGAATTTAAGTGGTAATAGAATAAAATACGTGGCGTACAAAAGGAATCAGAGATTTACATACTTTTCACTGCATTATTATTGCAAATTCATATCTAAATCTATAAATATAGTTCACAGACTTTTGAAAATATGTATACAGATAGACAGATGGATCAGGCATACAGACAGACAGATAGATGAGACATACAGATAGACAGATGGATCAGACATACAGGCAGACAGATAGATGAGACATACAGATAGACAGATGGATCATACATACAGATAGACAGATGGATGAGACATACAGATAGACAGATGCATGAGACATACAGACAGACAGATGGATCAGACATACACATAGACAGATGGATCAGACACACAGATAGACGGATGGATCAGACATACAGATGCACAGATGGATGATGCATAGAGGCAGACAGATGGAGATGACATACAGATAGACATGTGGATGAGACATACTGAGAGACAGATGGATCAGACATACAGATAGACAGATGGATGAGACATACAGACAGACAGATGGATCAGACATACAGATAGACAGATGATTGAGACATACAGACAGACAGATGGATGAAACATACAGACACACAGATGGATTAGACATACAGATAGACAGATGGATCAGACATACAGATGGACAGATGGATGAGACATAGAGACAGACAGATGGATTAGACATACAGATAGACAGGTGGATGAGACATACAGACAGACAGATGGATCAGACATACATATAGACAGATGGGTCAGACATACAGATAGACAGATGGATGAGACATACAGATAGACAGATGTATGAGACATACAGATAGACAAATGGATGACACATACAGAGAGATGGATGAGGCATACAGAGAGACAGATGGATGAGACATACAGACAGACATATGGATGAGACATACAGACAGACAGATGGATCAGACATACAGATAGATCAGACATACAGATGGATGAGACATACAGATAGACAGATGGATGAGAAATACAGACAGACAGATGGAGGAGACATACAAACAGATGGTTCAGACATACAGATAGACAGATGTGTCAGACAAACAGATGGATGAGACATACAGATAGACAGATGGATCAGACATACAGGCAGATAGATGGATGAGACACACAGACAGACAGATGGATGAGACATACAGATATATAAATGGATGAGACATACAGAGAGACAGATGGATGAGACATACAGATAGACACATGCATGAGACATACAGACAGACAGATGGATGAGACATACATATAGACAGATGGATGAAACATACAGACAGATGGATGAGACATACAGATAGACAGATGTATGAGACATACAGATAGATAAATGGATGAGACATACAGACAGACAGATGGATGAGACATACAGACAGACAGATGGATGAGACATACAGACAGATGGATCAGACATACAGACAGACAGATGGATGAGACATACATTGACAGATGCATCAGACATACAGATGGATGAGACATGCAGATAGACAGAGGAAGGAGACATACAGATAGACAGATGGATGAGACATACAGATAGACAGATGGATGAGACATACAGATAGACAGATGGGTCAGACATACAGATGGATGAGACATACAGATAGACAGATGGATGAGACATACAGGCAGATAGATGGATGAGACATACAGACAGACAGATGGATGAGACATACAGACAGATGGAGTAGACATACAAAAAGACAGATCAGACATACAGATAGACAGATGGATGAGACATACAGATAGACAGATGTATGAGACATACATATATATAAATGGATGAGACATACAGAGAGACAGATGGATGAGACATACAGATAGACAGATGGATGAGACATACAGACAGACAGATGGATGAGACTTACATATAGACAGATGGATGAAACATACAGACAGATTGATGAGACATTCGGATAGACAGATGTATGAGACATACAGATAGATAAATGGATAAGACATACAGAAAGACAAATGGATGAGATATACAGACAGACAGATGGATGAGACATACAGACAGATGGATGAGACATACAGACAGACAGACAGATGGATGAGACATACATTGACAGATGGATCAGACATACAGATGGATGAGACATACAGATAGACAGAGGAAGGAGACATACAGATAGACAGATGGATGAGACATACAGATAGACAGATGGATGAGACATACAAACAGCTGGATCAGACATACAGATAGACAGATGTGTCAGACAAACAGATGGATGAGACATACAGATAGACAGATGGATCAGACATACAGGCAGATAGATGGATGAGACATACAGACAGACAGATGGATGAGACATACAGACAGATGGATGAGACACACAACAGACAGATGGATCAGACATACAGATAGACAGATAGATCAGACATACAGATGGATGAGACATACAGATAGACAGATGGATGAGACATACGGACAGATTGATGAGACAAAATGATATACAGATGTATCAGAAATACATACATGTAGATGGAGAATGGAATGTACTTGGGGATAGACAGACTTGCAGACAGGCTCGGACAGACAGATGGACTTGAATATACCCAGTGGGAACGTTGGCCGACAGATGAACATACACATTGATAAACACACTGTACTCTAGAGAGTTTGGTTGAATAATAATTGGGCGGTTGCAAAGATAGGCATTAGGGGAGGGAGGAAGAGAGAGAGAGAGAGAGAGAGAGAGAGAGAGAGAGAGAGAGAGAGAGAGAGAGAGAGAGAGAGAGAGAGAGAGAAGTAGTTCTTCAGGTTGACCGGCTGTAAACTCAGGCCGAAATTTCTGGTTGTTCGCCAACTTCTGGGCCAAGTCTTGTTCAGTCATTGATCTATCTGTCCACATCGGTTTCCCAGAAATGGCTCATATAAATGTGCAGACTGTTGGTTCCTTGCCTCTCAGGCCGATGTACTCTGACTTCCAAAGAAACAGCCCATACTAAACGACTTTTACGGCACGGCATGCTGGTTTTTTTGGGTATGGGATGGGAGTGGGGGTTGGACTATTCTTTTTCTCCGAAAAATGAGTTATGGAACCCACAGGGAGTACAACAGTATTGTGTGTCAATGGTCGAAGCACTCACAATACCCCACTCACAATACCCCACTCACAATACCCCACTCACAATACCATACTCACAATACCCCACTCACAATACCCCACTCACAATACCCCACTCACAATACCCCACTCACAATACCCCACTCACAATACCCCACTTACAATACCCCACTGACAATACCCCACTCACAATACCCCACTCACAATACCCCACTCACAATACACAACTCACAATACCCCACTCACGATATCCCACTCACGATACCCCACTCACGATACCCCACTCACAATACCCCACTCACAACACCCCACTCACAATACACCACTCATGATACCCCACTCACGATATCCCACTCACGATACCCCACTCACGATACCCCACTCACAATACCCCACTCACAATACCCCACTCACGACACCCCACTCACGATAACCCACTCACGACACCCCACTCACAATACCCCACTCACAATACCCCACTCACAATACCCCACTCACGACACCCCACTCACAATGTCCCGATACTAAAAGTGGTAAAAGAGGAGTTGAAAAGAAATATTTAAAAAAAAAAAAAACAGAAATGTTTACCCCAGAGTGTTAACCCATTTCCTGGAGGCTTGGTAAACCTCAGGAACAAAGGCCGTGGGCTACAGCGAGTCGCAGCTGGATTTGAAAGCGAGTCTCCTATCGACTGCGCTGAGGCGGCTCCCCGAAACCCTGACTGTGGGTCACGGCTTTATTAATCTCTTAAGAGAATGACTGTCAGGGATATTTTAATAGTAACTAAACATTATGATTTTCTTTTTCCAGGGTTACGAAGGATCACTTCTAAAAATCACGAATAAAAACGGAAAAAACACGTCAGTAAGTATTAAGTAGGAAAATGTTGTTTTTGAGATTTCGAATAAGAAAAACCATATCAAACTGTTGTCTTTATCGCTAAAGTGTCACAGTGGTACAGTAGGTTAAAGGTTGAAGATTAAAGTCGAGAGGAACGACTTCATTGCACCGGGTTTTATCCCATATGGTTGGGTCTAACTCCGCAGAAAAACTAGCCGCCTACTTAGATCGCCGCGCAGATCCCGAAATCAGTAGCTCCGGCTACGAACTTGAGTTCGAATCAACCTAGTGTATGATTTCAAAGTATTTTTCTTTTCTATAAAGTCGATCGCGTAGTCAGCCTGCTTATAGTTAACTGAGTAAGATGAGAAACATTTCAAAACACCAGATTGCACGAGCTTTATACGCGTTTTATTCTCCAATAGTCTTATCTAGCATTAGCCTCATGTGATGCTGATGATAAACATCATTTCTCATTGAATGCACGACAGGCTATCAAAATAATCATTACACATCGTTGCACATATGAACAGTTTCCGGGCGTATGTCTGTTGAAGAAAACAGCAACACCTTTACGGCTGGGAATTATACATTCATAATTAAAGGAAAAGGACCCTTTTCCGCCACTTTAGACGTATTTTGGTATATAGGGCTAGACCTAAATTTTATGAACCAAACAGCACTTGGTGGGTGATGTGATCAGCATCATCTCGGCGGCCTTTACTTCCCAGGACTGTAACTGGTACCCATTTAAGGCTGAGTCGACCTGGGAGCCAAGGATAAAGCCATAAGGACATTGTAAATCTGAGGTCACATGCAAAAGTTCGTGTTGATCCGTCTCAGTCTTCGAGATATCTTTTAAAAGAGTAACGTTAGGACTTCTGAAACGCACTGAAGAACTATTGTAATAGATCGATTGGCATTCGATTGGATTTACTATCAAAATGACGCTGGTCGCGTTCACTTCCCATGGCGTAACCTGCTTTCCATTTTAGGCTTTGTCGACTTGGAAACCCAAAGTCATTTTGTTTTTAAATTGGCATTGATGAAGATTTGAAACCAAGATCTTTGGACCGGCGTGCGAGCGTCTAGTAGACTTTTACTCTATACTGGTCCACTGCTGCCTCTTTCCCATCCATCTGGTATCTGTTCTTATGACGTACCTAATTTTTAGCGCAGTCGATAGGAGGCTGGCCTTTCAATCCAGCTGCGACTCGCAGCCACGGTCTGTGTTCGAAACCGGGCTGTTTCCTGGGTTCACCCAGCCTCTAGGAAATGGGTACCAGAGTGACACTGTGGTAAACGAAGGAATGTCGCTGTAGCTACAGAGTTACATGCGGACGGCGACACAGGCGGATAGTTTCTTATCAGCTGTTCGTACTGGTAGCAGACCACTTATAGTTTATAACCGTGTGCAATGACGCTAGTTCATATTTCCCGAATGTATCTTTATCCTCCTCCCCCACCCCACCCCACTCTCATTTCGCTCCTACATATTGTGGATGTCATTTTTTTCCGATGCCTGTAGCTCCTCTTGATTGGTAATGTCTCTCAAGACATTCTTTACAACGCTTTCTTAGCTGTCCACTAAATTGCTCATTAGAAAATATTTCAGGCAGTTTAGATGTATAATTCTCGAACGCTTATCTATTATCAATCATAACATTGCATCTCAGTTCATTATCTTGTCATTTTATCTTTCGCAACAAATTATTATTAATCATTATCAAGTTCGAAACATTATTCAATGCTTCTTCTTTTGTATCTTCTTCTTCTTCTTCTTTTTCTTCTTCTTCTTCTTCTTCTTCTTCTTCTTCTTCTTCTTCTTCTTCTTCTTCTTCTTCTTCTTCTTCTTCTTCTTCTTCTTCTTCTTCTTCTTTTCCTCCTTCTCCTCCTTCTTTTGCTTCTTCTGGGTTGCCCACAAAAGGACAATTGGTATATTGTGGTGTGGTTTAGTGGTTTTGCATCCAGGCTGCAATATCCGCATTCTACGCCCAAACACGTCAGATTGAAGCAAATCATAATTAACTAATCTTCTCTTGCGACATGCCTGTTAGAGGCTGTGGTTTCTATTCTTTTCCCGGGTCCCACAAGAGCGATTAAATATATATGAGATCTATGCTGTCATAATTTTTTATGTTATATTGTGATGTATATTATGTCACGTTTTTAACACAGTCTTCGTGCCTGAACATTAGGCATTCAAATGGGTGCCAAGTCTTGCAATGAAGCATCCATTCCAAGACCCATTGCGACTGATACTATACTAAGTTGGCTACAGTATCTCTTTTCTTAACCTCCAAAAATGGAATGACTACCGTTCATTTCCCAGGTCACGCGGTCGGTATGGCGTTAAAGGTTTTCAATATATTTCTGTTCAGTCAGCAGAATGTTGCTCATATAAAATGCCTGCGTTCTTATTTCTGCTTCTTTAAAGGCTTTACTTGTTGTTCGTTAGCCCGGTTAGCTATATTTTAAACCGGCTCACCACGGTGTGTAGATTTGGAGGAGGAGGTAGGTTGGACTGTTATGGAATTTAACTTGTGTGGGAAGTTAGCATCTTTCCGTCGACGATAGTACTGAAATAGTTCTGCCAAACATTGATAATAAGGAGAACTGTACAGAGGAGCACGCACAGAAGGGGTCTATCGTCATCAGTAGAGAGATCCTTCGTCGACGATTGTTTCGGCCCATTATTTCCCTAGACAATCTCGGAAGGTGGGCCCGACCTGTGTCATGAATCCAGACCTCGATCTTCCCTTGCTACACTTGAGAATAAATCCAACGAAAGTTTCAGTCAAAACGTGCAGCATGAAAATCGAACCAACAGGAGCCAGCGCTGGACGTAACAGATGGATTAAAAGAGTCAATGATAGTCTAGGAAGTCGCTGAATGACAGCTTACCAAATGACCAAGCACGCCCTGGCTCCACTGCCTATCGCCTGTTATACTGCGACGCTTAGAGGTACAAATTACATCGACGCAGCAGGGCAGAACTGGGACCTGGATTCATGAGCCAGGTTGGCCCACCTTTTAAAACTGTTTAGGAAATAACGGGCCTAAACATTTAACAATAAAGGATTTTCAACCGAAGACCGGTAGACCCCTGCTGTCCATTCTCCCCTGTGAAGTTTTTCTTATTATATTATTATATAGTACCAAAAAAGGAAAGTAAAAGAGTGATACAATATTCTTTAGAAAGATGGTGATTGCTAATGTTGCTGTCAACACCAGATCCAATTATTAACATGCTTTGGCAATACGTACAAAGTCAATTATATTACTGAAGTTATCTGTAGTATTTTTGCCGGTTTTTTATTTCTAAAACCTATTTTAAGTATTTTTTTCTTATTACTTTTTGTTACTTCATTCAAAAACTAAGAAATAATTTCGCTGGTGTAATACATTTGGGAGTGGGGGGGGGGGGGGGGGGGGTGATATGTAATCTGTTATCAGAAAGAAAAGGAAATTATTTGTTTACTTATCTAAAATAAGTTGCAATTTTTCTTTTCTTTTAAATTCAAACAGCCGGTAGGATTCGTCACTTTCAGTTCCAGAACAGCCGCAGAAACAGCGAAACAAGATTTACAGGTAAGAGCTTTTCTCTCTCTCTCTTTCTCTCTCTTTCTCTTTCTTTCTCTCTCTCTCTCTCTCTCTCTCTCTCTTTCTCTCTCTCTTTCTCTCTTTCTCTCTCTTTTTTTTCTCTCTCTTTCTTTCTCTCTCTTTCTTTCTCTCTCTTTCTCTCTCTATGTCTCTCTGTCTTTCTCTCTATTTTTTTCTCTCTCTCTCTCTCTCTTTCTCTCTCTTTCTTTCTCTCTTTTTCCCTCTCTCTCTTTCTCTTTCTTTCTTTCTTTCTCTCTCTCTTTCTCTCTCTCTTTCTCTCTCTCTTTCTCTCTCTCTCTCTCTCTCTTTCTCTCTCTCTTTCTCTCTCTCTTTCTCTCTTTCTTTCTCTCTCTCTCTCTCTTTCTCACTCTCTCTTTCTTTCACTCTCTCTTTCTATCTCTTTCTTTTTCCCACTCTTTCTCTCTCTTTCTTTCTCTTTAACTTTCTCTCTATCTTTCTTTCTCTCTCACTCTCTCTCTCTCTCACTCTCTCTTTCTTTTTCTCACTCTCTCTCTCACACTCTCTCTCACACTCTCTTTCTCTCCCACTCTCTCTCACTCTCTCTATCTCTCTCTCATTCTCTCTTTCTCTCTCTCTCTCACACACACAAATACACACACACACACTACTTACCTACTATCTACCTACTTGCTTAAAGTTTGTGCGTCGGTAACTCTGTAAGCGAGCGTGTATTCATTGCTTTATGTCTTTTTCTCTCTAACGTTAAACCTGTACCGTATTTTCTTTTTTGAAATAATCATATATCTCTCTTTCTCTCACGTTTTCTCTCTCTCTCTCTCTCTCTCTCTCTCTCTCTCTCTCTCTCTCTCTCTCTCTCTACTCTTGCTTTCCCTCTCCCTCTCTCTTTCTTTCCCTCTCCCTCTCTCTCTCTTTCTTTCCCTCTCTTTCTTTTTCTTCCTGGTCTACTCGTCTCTTGTTATGTATGGGGTGTGTTTGCCGTTATGCAAGTTAGTTTTCACAGATTTCCTTTTCTTGTTGTCTGTCTTCTTCAGTCTGCATGTCACAGCGCCTTTTCACCCGCCCCTCCCTCTTTTTCCCCTTTCCTTTTATATGTATACTCGTACTTCCCCCTCCCTCTCTATTTCTCTTCCTCTGTCTCTCTCTCTCTTTCTTTCTTCCTTTCTCTTTCTTTCTTTCTTTCTTTCTCATTATCTCATATAGTCTGTTGATCTCCCTACCCCTTTCAGAAAAGGATGTGCCTCTGATCTGTACATTTTGTGCACCAAAATCGAGCGATCTCTCTCTCTCCCTATCTCTCTCTCTTAGACTTCCTCATTTGCCCTAAAATCCATCGAAAACATGTTCCGTCCCTAACTTCTACATCTTGCACATTGGGGCATGCAAATCAAACTTTGAAAACACACAGGCAAGGAGCACAGATAAAACATCTCACAAAAACTTTGAAAACACACAGGCAATGAGCACAGATAAAACATCTCACAAAAACAGAACAGAATCGTTAGAAACAGAGAAGCGGAATCAGTTCGATGTTAATTTTAACAAAAAGAATTATTGCAGTATTTGGAGCAAAGCTTTTTTTTAAACAGAATTTGGAAAAGAAACATAAGCCGTGACTTCTTGCATTGCTAAAAGTATTCAAATGAGGACGAGAATGGCAAGATTTTGCTTGAATAAGAGCTTGCAATGGAAACAAGTTATTTCTTCGTTGTGTATGTCGATAGACGAGGCGTAAGATACGGAGGGGGTGGGAAAGAGGGAAAGAGACAAGAGAGATACAGACAGATAGACAGAGGTGAAATAGGGAAAGTGAGGATAGGTGAGGGGAAGAAAAGGATTTTTAAAAGTGATTTAAAAATAGAGTGAGCAGTTAAGGTGAAATAGAGAAAATATGTCTGTGAAATAGAGAAAGAGAGAACATGATGCAGCCTGTTATAGTGAGGGATAATACAGAAATTCTGAGCGAGAGAGGGGTTAAAAGAGAGAGAGGTGACAAAAAAATAGTGTGAGTCGTGGACGAAATAGGGAGAACAATGGAACAGTTAGGATGAGAGAAAGTGAAAGAGAGGAAGTGGATTGGGGTTAGGGGGGGGGGGGATAAAATAGAGAAACAGAAAGATTAAAAAAAGGAGTAGCAGAAAAACAAAAGAGTAGCAGATTGAGATAAAAGAAAAAAAGTAGCAAAAGGAGGATAGAGAGAAACTGTAAAACAATAAAGTGGGCGAGACAATGGGTTAAATAAAGATGGGGAGATAAAGGTGAAAAAAAAATAGTTAGTGACAGAGCCTAGAAGTTTAAAACAAAAACAGATGTAGAAAGATGGGTAAAATAGAGAAGGTTAAAAACTAAACTGCAGTTAAGAGAGATACGGATAGTGAGAATGATATGGTGGATATGATCTTTCGAAAATGTCACGATCATATAGCTTTTTTCGTTCTTCTTCTTCCTCCTCTTTTTCTCGTTTACCGGCTGTAAACTCTGGCGAAAAGTTATGGTGTTCTTTAGCTTCTGTTCCCAGGTTTTTCGTGAACATCCGTTTGCACATATGGCTTATTTGCAGGCAGACTCTTTGCTCCTCACCTCTCAGGCAAATGCATTCTGACTTTAAAGGAAACATCCCTAATTAGAGTCTTACGACATGTTCCCTAGGGGGCAGTGGGTCCATTCTTTGTTTGTGTCCACAATGCTTTTTCATTCTTGTGTAGTATTCATGCTTTGTGTATTGCGTTATTACCCTGCATGGTTTATTGCTAAAATACAATTTCCGCATAAAAAGTGAGTGTTTAAAAAGCTCGAATGTTTAACGGGCCTGCGTGCCCAATTTGTTACCCTGTGAAAAAAACGTCCGTTTGTTCATTCTGGTGTGAGATCTTCATTGATGTAGTAGTTTAGCGTCTCTAGTGGTAAATGACCTTGCAGTTTTCTAGTAACATGTCTGAACCATTTCATCTTCTCATTATTTGTTCCAAAATATACTTGTGAGACTGGGAGCCGGGCTAGCGTAGTGGCTAGACGCTGGTTTGTCGATCCAAATATTATGGGTTCCAATCCACATCAGGGAGACGGGTTTGATTGTTTTTGGGGAGGGGCGGAAAAGGAATGGGGGTGTGGGGGTCAAAATTGGCTCTCAGATTAAACCAGAGTAAAATTAGTACACCGTAATGTTTTTTGGAAGCAAGGGCGGCCGGCATTATATTGACCACATCACGACCGAAGTGATCAGTAGTAAAGTTGTGAGCCTAGCGTCATGCGTGTTATGCGTCACTGAGTTTAAAAGATTGTTTACTGTCATTCCTTGACGCAAGAAGCTTGTAGCAACCGTTAGTCTGATAGTATCGTTTCTCCCTTGCTCGGAGATGATAATGAATTTGAAAATGGCGGATGACATTAGTGAATTTGATGCGTTCATAACGATAAAGCATGTTTGCATTGAATATCAACACTTTGACATTCGCCAGGTTGGGCACTCTAAAACTGCTGTCTGTGCTTCTCCTGATATTATTTCATAAGTGTTAGTTGTTGTTGTTGTTGTTGTTGTTGTTGTTGTTGCTTAGCCTTTTCTGTTTTAAAGGGTTTTTTTTCTTTTTACATTTACCTACAAATATAACTGCCATTACTGCCATATTCAGCACTTTTACGGTGCCACCGGGGAAGTCTTTGAGCCTGGCAAGTTAGTGCCGTATGGCTAATGTCGTCATAGACTTGGCAGTTAGGATTCTATTTTTTTTTCATACAACAATAACATCCACATTTTCCTATTTCTTCAAACAGGGGGTGCGATTTGACCCCGACCTGCCCCAGACTTTGAGGTTAGAGTTCGCCAAGTCGAACACAAAGGTCACGAAGCCCAAACAAAGTTCACCACAACCAATCGCCGCCCACCAAGCCACCATTATCCACCCTATTACAGGACGTAAGTATCTTGTATTATCTCTTCGTCTGGCATCAGCCTCTTTTCCACTCAATAATTTGATAAATTGCATTCACAGCTCTAGAATACTAATTTCTTTCTTATGAAAACCAAATGAATATGTATTGACACTCATACACGAATGTCGGCTCTGTGGCTAAGTCGATGCGAACGCTTCGTAATGCTGGGATGCCAGGTTCGATCCCAGCTGCGGGCCATGCTCCTTGCTTTGGTTTCGACAGTGGTTCTGCAACGTCCTGTAAAGGATACGCAATTAATCATCCACGAATGGATTATGAGGGTGAAATCAAAGGAGAGAGATGAGGGGTTGGAGAAATAAATAATATATTGACCTAATTCTACATAATATTGATATTTCGCAAGACCACACGTCTCCGGCTTTAAAGAATGAGTCCCTGCAATTTTGGCTCGTAGTGTGTTGGTGACCACATCATGCACCTAAAATCTCTGTGACCAAGATTGTGGATTAAAAAAGAGATAAACCCAGTTATGTCGGAATATCAACACGGATTGCTTCACTGTTTTGTCACTTTTCCTGTGCATTTCATCCTATACATTTCTTCTTCTTATATATACTCCATGTATTGACCTAGATAGTCATGTTTATCCACAACTCTCTGTCTTTTGTTCTTTCAGTCAGCTCTGACACAGATAATCTTCAATGCTAGAATGTAAAACTGTTTAGCACATTTTCTCTGTGTCTCCCTCTGCCTCTTGTTGCCTCCAACTTTCCCACTGTCACGACGTCAGTTGTCTTCTTGTCATGACATGACTAAACAATGGAAGTCTTCTCCTTCTGATGGGAACAGTCAGGTGTCTCTTCGTTAGTAATTTTCTTTCTTGACATCTTTATTACTCTTCAACTGTTCCAGGATGTGTTCACCATTCTTCTATAAAACCACATCTTCGCAGCTTCCACATAATTTTTGATTCATCGGCTATCTGGGCATGATTCACTTCCATATATCAGGATAGGGTTTATATAGTTAAAATAGAATGTATTAATGTAAACTAAGGAGGGCGTAAACCTATATTGGACAGTTTGTTGCCTAGAATATTTCGCTGTATCTTGTCAGTT